TTTATTTCGTCATTCCGCTGATATGGCGATTTCTTTGACGACTGCAATATATTTCTGAATTGTTTGAGTCAATTGCTCTTTATTTTTAAAATATCCAAAATTAAAAAAAAAGCCGAACACCATTTTGAAACTGACGTCTTTAGCTATGTCCTGTGAAAATTTGAGAAAAATTGGTTAAAACCCGCAGGAGCACAACTCGTTTGAAAATCAGTAATTACCGTAAAATTTTTCGGGGGAAAATTGAATTTGAATATTACATTTTCAATGTTTTTCTTATTGCAGCGAAATGTATTTTATTAAATAACTCTGCGAGTTTTCAACATTTTTCGTCCAAACTTGGTCAGATAGTAGAACTAGTCTAATGCTTTCATGGAAACCAATAAAAAAAATTTAGGCAAAATTAACACTCAAAGCTGTTCTGTAACCTTAACGGGGCCTCACAATGTGAAAAATAAGTACGTTATTTTGAGGTACCTCGGGGATATGTGATTTATTCACCTCGGCGCTGCATTCGCGCCTCGGTGAATAAATCACATATGCCCTAATTGCCTCAAAATAACCTATATACTTATTATAGGGCAATACAGTAAGTTTCATAGCTAGTGTAGTTTCATGAATATTGCCAAGCGTCAAGATTTTAATTTGCACTTCTAAAAACATTCCTAATAGACTTTTTAAACAGAATATGTAGGGATTAAATTTAGCCTGACTATGTCAGATTATATATATGCATTTGATTATATATATATGTATCAGATTATATATATATATATATATATATATATATATATATATATATATATATATATATATATATATATATATATATATATATATATATATATATATATATATTATATATATATTCAGTTTTTGCTGCCTTTTTGTATGTATTTGGCCTTCCTGTATCTTTTTCAAGTTTTCTTGTCGACTATTTTGTACGCTTTTACCTAAAACTTGTCGAGACAACAACAAATTCGACGAATGCGTAGCTGGTTAATTTTACACGTAAACTATAGAAAATTGCTTTGTTCCTTTGGTCTATTCCTTCTTATTTTCTGGTAAATTTTGTGTTTTAAAGCTCCATGGTTTTGTTTATATTTTTGGCTAAAAAGCAGTGACGAAGAGGGAAAAAAAAACGAGAAAGAGCAAGGCAGTGGCCACAGTGCATCATTGCGTCACAATGCACGCGCATTAGCCAATCAAATCGTCTGTTATTTCACACTTATATCAGCCTCGTACCCAGGCGCAAACAACGTACTAAAAATTAGCAACACTACAGTGTTTTTATATAGATCAGTGGCTGAGAGAGCGAGCGCGCGGGGGTGCTAGGTCAACACACGACGGGATTCTGCTGCGCCTGGCAGAAAATGTAAATATGGTTCTTCAGAAATACGATATCTGAAGAATCGAACCATTCAGCTTTTTACTCGTGCCTTTTCAATTATTTTTGGCGTTTTTGGTGCTGAATATTATATTTATATGTGCTTATGGGTGACCTGGAACAATCGCTGAAGGAATTATCAAGAAATGAGTGTTTTAATAGAGGTGAGTGTTTGTATTGGTTTGCCTTGAGATTTCATTATTCTCTGTATATTATGTGTGCATCATTGTATAAATCTTGGTCAAGATGACTACAAGAAATAGGTTTCATATTTTAAAAGAATTTGTAAGCTGCCCACATAAGGAGAAAGAATAATTTCAACCAGGGATGCACCTTTAATAATTTAACACCAGAATCAAAAGCCCAGGTCGAGTTCCAGCCAAAGAGATTTGCTGATCAAATGTCTTTATACTATACAATTCTAAAAGTTGTAAATACTTGAATAGTTTATTTTCAGCAAACAATCACTGAATTGATACAGAACCCAGTAGTGCTGTCACTACTATGACTACTGCTTGATACATGTATATTAAATTTGCCATGAAGTGATTTGAATATTTTTGTTTTTCAGTGTATTGTATGCAGTTTGACATTTGTCACTGATGTTCTTGAATTCCAAAAGATTTTCAACTACATGTGATATGAATATAGATATAATATTATATTTGCAACCCATGAAATGTATATTTTCTCTGTAGCTGGTACAGTTCAACATAGCACAATTTGATTGAGTAAAAGGCTTTCTGCGGGTGCCTCTGGCAGCCACCTTATGGAGGGTGAGTTAGAGGCTAATCCCAAGCCACCCGTC